TTTAAATTAAGCCAGATGCTTTCACTGAGGCTAGTAAGTTCCTCCTCTTCTTCTTTTTTCAGATATATGTGTCTGTTATGTATAGTGCGATTCTACTTCCCATTTTGTCCTTTCACTTTTTTTCTGGAACAGGTTATACCTATTCAGGGTAGGGTAACAAGTACATCCCAGAGTGTAGAATATGGAGTAACAGGCTCAGGTTACAGGAAGCCAGATTCTGGCTAGATGGCAGGAAACATTTCCTGACTGTCAGAGCGGTATGATAATGGCTATCATAGGAAGGATTTGGGCTCTCCCACTCTGGAGGCATTCATGATGCAACTGGACAGCCATCTGAGAGGGATGGTTTAACTTGGAGTCCTGCACTTAGCAGGGGGTTAGACCTGATGGGCCTCTGGTGCCTTCCAACTATTCTATTCTATGATTCTACAATTCTAAGATCACTCTTAATTTTGTTTCTGTCCTCCAGGATATTTGCAATTCTATCCAGTTTTTTATTATTCACTGTTCTGATAAGTGTCTCCTGTATTTCCTCACCCAAATCATTAATAAGCACATTGAAGATCACTGAGACTGAACCCTATGGTACTCCATTTGTTACCTTTTCCTAGTTTGAGAAGGTGCCTTGGATGAGAACTTTTTGAATCCAATTCCATAGTGAACTGTGGATCCATCCGATTTCATCTAGCCTGCTTTTAGGGCGTTTGCTTATCAGGATATCATGGGATACTTTATCTGAAGCTTTGCTTAAGTTAAGATAGATTAGATCCACAGCATTTTTACAGTTCACCAGGGAGGTTATCCAGTCAAAAAATAAAATCAGATTAGTCTGGCAGAATTTGTTCTTGGGAAATCCATGTTGGTTTTTATAATCATTGCATTTTTTTTCAAAGTGTTTGCAGATGACTGCTTTAAAATCTGCTCCAGAATTTTTCCAGGGATTGAAATTAGACTGACTGGTCTGCAGTAACCATGATCCTTTTTTCTCCTTTCTTGAAGATGGAGCGATATTAGCCTTTCTCCCGTCACCTGGCACTTCCCCTGTCATCCATAATTCTCAAAGATAATAGACAATGCTTCTGAGAGTTCCTCTGCCAGCTCCTTTATTACTATTGGATGGAGTTCATCATGTCCTGGCGAGTTGCACTAATTAGTTCAAGGGTGATACTTGACCATTTACCTATCAATCTCAAACTGCCATCCTGCTCCTTCAGTTTGTACTTTGTTTTCATCAGGAAGGTCATAGGTCCTCTTTTGGGAGAAGACTGATACAAAATAGGAATTGAGCACTTCTGTCTTTTCTTTGTCATCTGTTATTTTGCCATCCGCATTAAGTAGCTGAACCTTCATTGCTTTCCTCCATCTTTCAGTATGGTTGTATCTGAAGATGGCTTTCTTGTTGCTTTTAGCATCTCTTGCTAATCTCAGATCTTTTCCAGCTTCCGTCTTCCGGATATCATCCCTGCAAGATTGTGCTACCTGTTCCTTTGTTCTGTGTTACCTTTCTTTGCAGTCTGGCCTTCCTTCGTCTTTCCATAGATGTCCTTCATTGTTTTCAGATCATTTCTAAGCTTTTTATGAAAATATATGAGCCTCCTTTGTTGTCTTCTACACTCTCTCCTTGTTGGAATTGTTTGTAATTGTCCCTATAGAATTTTCTTTTTTTTTTTTTAAATTCCCACCTATCTCGAACTCCTTTTTCTCATTAGAGTCATTTGCCATGGAGCTCTGCTTAGCATTATATTGAGTCTATTAAAGTTGGCTTTCCTAAAATCCAGGGTATGCATTTGGCTACACTTAGCTTTTGCTTCCTTTAGAATCAAGAATTCAGTATGGCATGGTCACTTTCCCCCAAGTTTCTGTAACTTCCACTTTGTCCACTAGGTCTTCCCTTTTGGTTAGAGTAAAGCCAAGAATAGCCATTCCTCTAGTTCCTTCCTCCACTTTCTTTTGGAGGAAGTTATCAGCAACACATTAGGAATTTCTTGGCAGAATTTGTCTTGCAACAGGAATTGAGGAAATTGAAGTCCGCCATAACTACAACATAATGCCTCCTTGAGATACTGGCAATTTGTTTTTAAAAGTTTCATCCTATTTTCTCCTTGTCTGGGTGGTCTGTAACAGACTCCAACCACTATGTTCCTTTTATTCCTTGCTCTGTTTATAAGAATCCAGATGCTCTAACTATGACTACTAAACGTGTCTTCACTTATTTCTGTGCAGAGATATGCATTTTTAACATAAAATGTGATCACCTCCCTTTCTGCTCCTGCTGTTCTTCTTGAACAAACTATATTCTTCAGTTGTTGAATTCCAGTCATGGAAGTCATCCCACCAAGTTTCAGTTACACCTATCAGGTCATATTTGCTCTCTTGTATCAAGAGCTCATGTTCATGCTGTTTGTTTCCCATACTCCAGGCATTATTATATAGACATGGAGGAACATGGAAGTCTATTCTTGAGCAATATTAGAGATTAAGGCTTTGTCCATTATTACCTGCAGGTGTACTTCTCCCTCCCCTGTAGGATTCAGTTTAACTCCTTCATGTAGTGGCCAAACACTTTCTTTTCAGTCCTTGTAAGGTGCAACCCATCCTTTGCCAGCAGCCCATCTTCCAGGATGTGTAGCCCATGGTCCCAGAATCCAGATCATTCACATTGGTACTATGTTTACAACCAGGAGCATTTTTTCTTACTTTGTCTTTTCTTCTTCCAGGAACTGGAAGAATGAAAGATAAAACAGTGTAGTGTAGTGGTTGAGAGTGCAGGACTAGGACTACCATGAACAGCACAAGACTCCCCTTCCCCAACCCTACATTTTATTGACATGTTTAAATGGCTTGTGTTTCAGTTACCTCCCCCCCCACCCCTCTGTGTGTGTGTGTGTGTGTGTGTGTGTGTGTGTGTCTGTGTGTAGAACTGACTTCCAAATATTTAGGCTGAACACTTAACAACCAGTAAAGATCAACAGAACACAGCACAACATGCTTCCAAGAAAATATGGATATAATTGGGCTGCTTCTGTTGCATTTTCTTTGCCTTGAAAAAGTATTGTGTGAATTATCTCCTGTTGAGTTTACTGTGGTTCATTTAGATCTGTGGAGGAACTGGGAATATCATCCCTTGCATGCAATTTTTGATTTTTTCTATCAAACTTCCCCACAAACAGAAGCAGGATACTGGTTAACTGTGTTCTTTGCACAATTAAGTAACCTTGGGATAATTTAATGCCTCCCCCCCACACACACACAACTGCTATATTTGGGATAAAATTGAATATTTCTCCTGGTATTATTATTATTATTATTAGTGATCCATAGAGAACAGTCTTGTGTAATCTTTTCTTCTCTTTGTCTTTTTAAACTAAAATCCCAAGAATCGGTTGGCGCATTTTACATTTACAAAGCAATAATGTTATTCTGAATGTGTTTAAGAGCATCAGAAGTACCTGTCAGGATCAAGCCAAGATCCACTTAGATCAGTGTTCTTTCACTGAAATTCAGAAACTAGCAGGGATTAGTGGCCTACCAGTGCAGTTATAACTAGTGAAAATGTATGTATCTGCTTCCCTCATATGAGGGCCAAGGTGGGAACAATGAATAAAAGTAAAAGTATAACAGTATGAGCAATGTATAAGAATCATAATTGAGGACTTCTTTTTCCCCCTTTTACATAAACTTGGGTCTTGTTGCTTTCCATGTCAAGCTGATCAGCAAGGAAAAAGGGCACTATGCATAGCACATAACTGACTTATTTGGTTCACTCTGGCAAGATCTGGTGAAGGCCAATTAACTTTTCTGGTTCACTGGCCATACACTGCTGTCCTGTGCTTGTATTGGCATAGGTTTTGGTACTGACATTGGCAATGGTATTAGTATTCTTACTATTCAATGGTATTAGTATTCTTACTCAATAGCTGAAGCTCTCAGAAGAAAAATCCATTGAGTTCAATGGAACTTGCTCCCAGGTATGTGGGTGCAGCATTGCAGCTTCAGATGACTTTTTCAAAGGATTATTCAATTTAGAAAGGAAAGTTCTATTATCAACATATATTAGCAGCATAAACAAAGCTTCCATATACAGAAGCAGTAACAATATCATTTTTTCAAATATTTCATTTGGAGTTTCTGTGCTAATCAGCAGGGTCATAAGATGAAGTCATTCAGCACTACAGCAGGAGTATATAAATACTTGAAAACCCTCCAAGCATGCAGAAACAATAGATTGTAGATTTAAAAGATAGGGGATGCCCCAAACAGCCCAACAAAGGGTGATGCATCTAGGATGTAGAAGGCAGGAGGGAATCAATTCAGGGAAGACTGTCAGGTTCAAATACCTAAGAGGCTGTAATATACTAGGGGGTGGGTGTGTTACAGATAGGAGCATGAATGTTACAAGGTCTAAAATTCCTTCTCTCTCTGATACAAGGAAATAGTTCAAGAGGGGGAGAGAAAACTGATCCTAACCAGCTATAAATATTGTGACAAAGCTCCTTTTGCTAGTCTGGCTTGGGGATATGAACTCTTAGGCTGGGATTTGTTCACTGCAGCCCTCTACTTCTGACTGGCAAATCTTAGGGAAGAAAAAGGGAAATCATTTTCGTGGTGGCTTATGGATTTTCAGAGGCATCTAAATAGATCAGATGGACATTGTTTTGATTCAGCACAGGCATTTTTAGGTAGATGGGACCATCTACCTAAAAAAAGATTGCCTTTCCTTGCAGCCCATAGCTTGGTGCCTTTGTATGAACTCATCTCACAATATTTATTTTAGAAACACTTTTTTCAGTGCACCTGTTCTCTGCTTGTGGAACCTTATTGTACATATTGATTAATTAGAGCACCATTTGCTTCATTCCTCCATGTAAAACTGTTAATCCTTGCATATACCACATGCATTGCATGTCTTCATCCACTTACGAATAGGAAGCCATTGAGCCTTTCTGCTCACTTGATCTCAGGAGATTTCCTTCAATAAGTTTCTTCCAACTTTCTTCCAGGTCATTAACAACTACCTAGATGGAGCTCAAGTGGGTGTTACAGAAAAGACCTCACCAGGAGGGATGCATTTCCGAGACAGCAAAAGGAAAGTGGACTATGTTTTAGCTTATCATTACCGAAAATGTTCTTCACAGTCTGGTGGAGGCTCCCCAGGCCTCTTACATAGACCAGTGGCTATTATTTCAAATGGGGAGACAGCCAAAAGCCAACCTGAACAGCAACAGCAACAACATGGCCAGGATGTATCCAGTCCAGATGTTGAGGTGGTTGATTTGGGCCCATTGGATCCTTTGGAGGAAGCAAAACGAGAGCAGAGGGATGAGTTTGAGCGCAACCTGATGGAAGCTGGTCTGGAGATAGAAAAAGATGTGGAGGTAAGAGGGCAGGACAAAACTCCAGTTTAGAATTATATTTATGTGTACAAACCCCCACCTTGTTTTGTAATGAGGAAGAGTCTTTGAAACAGTTCAGAATTTCCTGAGCAGTGTGGTTTCATTGATGTAGCTGTATGATGGAAGTACTATATGAGTATGCATTCTATGACTATGCACGATCGCATCATTTTTCTTCCCTCAAAATAAGGGGGACTTCCTTAGAGTTCTCTTCTTGTCATCTGCCTGGTGAAAAAGTGCCACTCCTCTGGCACTATGTGCTTCTCTGCAGTGAAGGAAGAATGAGGTAAATGTACATTTAACTATGTAGCTGTGAGGATAAGGTCATACCATATTTTATTTAACCATCATTTTAAGAATTAGAGTTTTAGACTTTTAGATCTTGAAGTTAACAGTCGCATTTTATTCTATTTATTTTAATTATTTCAGTTATTTTTATTTATTTATTTTCCTATGTTTGATTTATTCTTTTTTGTTTATTATTGGATTAATTTGATGGTTTCTGTAGTATGGATTGTATTTATTATAACCAATTTATTATTATTTACTGTATTATGAATTGTATTGTATGATTGTATACTCTGTAAGTTATCTTGAGACGTATTGTGAAAGACAGGACAACAATGTTTTATTAAATTAAAATTAAAAATTAAATATGAAGAAAATGTGACTATATGATGTGACTGTGGATACAAAATGCATGGGATGTCTCTATGGGAGTTATTCTAATATAACTATATGTTTAGCTTCCAGTGACTTGTTTTTTTCTTGTTGATTTGGTTTGCTGAATAAAATCTTTTTGCCTAAAGCCATCATACTTTTTATTAGGATTAACTAGTGGAATGTTGGCCAATTATTGACAATAGTCAAAACCTGTGACATGAGCAAGTTTGTTAGAGAATAGAATGTTCAGACAGACAGGGCTGAGGACAGAAGGAGAGAATTTTTCTACAAAATTTTGGCTTCTAATTTTCTTAATTCTGGGTTGAGAGATCCTTTCCCTTATTGCTTCTTCTAGGGGGATGTGACATTTGTGGGGGAGGCTTTCTCCCTGAGGAAAGACTTTGGGATCAATTTCCCAAATCCAGTCTATTTTTGTGTCCTCAGGTTTAGCAATGATCTTTCTGCTGCCAGTGCCCATGAATGGAGCAAGAAGAGAAAGCTGATGAATTGCGTGGTTTCAGCATTTGACCATGAAACTCAGAATTTGAGCAGACAGATCTGCTTACTTACGTACCAAAAGCTAAAATGCTATTATAAAGGATAATAAGTACTTATTATCCTCTTCTCGAGGCTACTTATTACGTATTAGCCTGAAAAAGAGGAGACTCAGAGGGGATATGTTGGAGACATACAGGTATGTGAGGTGATGTCACATGGAGATGGGTAGAGGCCTGTTCTCCCCTGCAGAGGAAGGCAGGACATGCTCCAACAGAGCAAACCTCAGGGAACCAAGGTTCCATTTAGATGCCAGGAAGCACTTCCTGACAGGACCCCGAGGGTGTGGAATGGGCTTCCACGAGGTCGTTGAGGCCCCATCAGTGAGGGTGTTCAAAGATAGGCTGGACATGCACATGGTGGGCATGTCATGAACGAAGCCAGCTGGAGCCGGGGATCAGACTAGATGGCCTGGGAGGCCCCTTCTGACTCGCTCTGTTTCTATATTTCTATGCTACTTCTTGAGCTCATGTAATTCATGAGCTCATATGTCAAATTGTTTCCCACTGTTAAGACAATCAACACCACAGATCTACATGGAAAATTCATTTATTTTATTGGCTCAAAAGAAGTCTGGTCTGATTCTGACCACATCTCCTGATTAATAGAAATTCTAGTAATGCAAACCAAATAAGCTAGAATCATAAGCCATGGTTTGTTGTTCAGATATCCTCAACCATATTTCATGTAGCGTAAAAGCAAATCTAGTACCTTTGTAAACATTATGCCACCTTTGTGGCCTTTAGGGCTGCAGCATTGATTGGTAGCTATGCCCACAAGTAAGCACAATGCAAGTCTTCTGTAATATCAATACAAATTCTGTTGACTGTATAAGGGCTAGTCTTCAGACTGGCATGGTCTACCCATTTCTGTTAGCATTCTCTCAATCCACTGATTCAGTATAAAATTACAAAACAAGAATGCATGCCCACACAGTCTAACAGCTATATGTCATAACTGATATGTTTAAAGAGATCCTATGAATAGAGTACTTGGGTTGATCAGTTGCTGTTGCTACTTTGGAAAAACCTTAATCAGGAGATACTAGGAAGTTCCTGGGAAATTGACCAGTGTTCCATCAGCAGGCAAGAGTCTCTACCTCTGATCTACATGGGCTATCAGTAAAGTTAATTAATTTAAATTTAATCAGTAATTAATTAAATTGCACTGCTTTTTAATAGCCAGAAATAAATGCTTTGCTATATTCATTCCTTATAGTGTATGGCAAAGGCATAATAGGAAAGTCATCTGAGATGTGTTTTGGCACTGGGTCAAAAAAAGATCTTACATCCTGATATGAATGCAATACACATTGAAAAAGTGAGAGCATTTAGGTAGTAAAAGCTGATTTCTAAAGTTGATTTACTTCTTCCAAAATCAAATAATCTTCTGCATTTTATGACATGGTACTCAGGGTTAACAAATCACAAAGCAGCCCTCCCACCCACCCAAGTATACACATCTTTCAAACAGAATATGGTACATTGCATCCTCTGTAAAGAAACAGTGAAGTATCATGTAGTTGTCTAAGATTATGTATCATTGTTACACCAGACATGTACATATTTAACAATGTTGCTTTTATCATAAATCACTCTCTCCTTGTATATTTTATTTATTTATTTATTTATTAAAACATTTTTATGCCGCCCCATTCGCCGAAGCCTCGGGGCGGCTTACAACAATATTGAAGAAATATTGCTTCATGAAAGTGGTAGTAAAACACCTTGACTTTAAGGGTTTGGCAGCCCTTTAATCTATGCTCTTTAATCCTTAAGGAATAGGCCCGTAGATAATTGAAATGCATCTCTAAACTGAGAGGAAGAAGCCAAATTTGACCTTCTCTGGACACCCCCACCCCCACCCACTGCTCCAGTTGCTGTGCCAGATAGAAAAACAGTTGCCAGACAATTCCTTTTGAGATCTCAAAAGGAGAGCGATTTTTTCCAGGCATGTCAAAGATGGAGGCAGCTTCTTTGCTCCCCATAACACAGAGCAGATTTTTGGAACCATATCCCAGAGATGAGAATGATGGCTGCCCTTAAACCAGAGTAAACATTTCCATTTTAGAAACTTGTCAACTGATGTTGCAAGAGACTAAAAGAAAAGTACTGTTATATACTACCTGTATATTAGTAGTTGTTTAAGAAGAATTTCAGTTTGATAACAGATCACTGAACTGTGGGGTATAGGCTTTTAGTCCTAGTTAGCTATTTCTGAATGTTGCCTTTACAGAATAGCAGGATATTAATAAACTAATGCTATCATAAGAGAAAGAGATGTAATGTAATTTTGCCATGTTTTTGTTACTCTCCAGTGTGATAAATGATATAGTCTAATCCACATTTGAAGGAAGAAGTGCCTGAAGCAATTATTGATCGGTTGTGATTAATCTCATTGCTAAGACTAAAATGTATTTGATTATGTCATTGGAATGATATAGTGGAAAAATCAGTATGCATCAATGCCATGCTTAAATGGATGGAATGAATTTTCTTTGAGCACAATCCTACAGGGTTGCTAGTCAGTGGACAGAGGATTCCATTTTCTGAGCAATCTATCCTAGACTCTGATGGCAAGAATAGCTGCTTTGTCCTCCTTTGTTGTAATTCTGTGTGGCTGAGGATGGAGACCAAGAGGCTTGCTGTTGATGGTTCCACAGCTTAACTTCTCCTCCCCTCTCACTGGGTGGTGGGTGATTTCCCCCTCTAGGCTATCTAGGTTGACTTCACTGTCTACAGCTTTGAAAGGAAAAATACTTCACAGAGGCTGTCTGAGAGTATAGGATTGCTCTGAGAGAGACATTATTCTCTAGCTGAAAAATTCAGAATAAAATTGCTGTGCTTTACTTTTACTTTGTTAGAAGAAAGTGGTTAGGCATAAAGCATTCATGTCTTTCAGTGATTTGTTAAAGATGCAGAAAGATGTTGAAAATATTGATTTAGAAGATATTAAAATTTGCATTTTTCTTCTTTAAGATGAAACAGTTAAATATGCTATTAATTATTCGAGATCTAGAAATTACCTGTGTAAGTGTTTGGGGTAGATGAACTCCTACTGTTTTCTCTGTGGCAGATGAAGGTGGACTCTGATCCTGAATGAAGGGGCTTCAACCCCCTCCTATGGAAACCCATTCCATACCCTCAGGGTCCTAACTGTCAGGAAGTACTTCCTCACATCCAAATTGAACCTTGGTTCCCTGAGCTTTGCTCCACTGAAACACTTCCTGCCCTGCTCTGCAACAGAAAACAGGTTTCTACCCACCTCCATGTGGCACCCCCTCACATACCTATATGTCAGCAAGAGCTTCTTCTCAAGGCTGAAAAGATCCAGTTTCCTCAGTCTCACCTCATATGACTTTCCCTGCAATCCAGTCACCATCCTTGTGGCCCTATACTGCAGTGATTTTGACCTGGCTATATCCTTCCTGTAATGTGGAGCCCAGAACTGAACACATTACTCCAGTTGCAGGTGCACCAGAGTCATATAGAGTAGCAGTAATACCTTTCTTCATCTAGAAGGCATGCTTCTGGCTATGCAGCCAAGGGTCGCACAGGGTTCACCAAGGGTTCGCCCTCTTGACTGCCATGTCATACTGCTGACTCATGTTTAACCTGCAGTCAACCAGTACCCTGAGATGTCTTTCACAAGTGCTGTTCTCCAGCCACTTGTCCCCTAACCTGTGTTTATGATATCCATTCCTATGCCTGAAGTGCAAGACCTTGCACTTATCCACATTGAATGCCATCCTGTTGTCCCCTGCC